AATATGACTATAATGGGGTAGGGGTTCTGAGAGGCCAGCGGCACATACCCAACAAAGATTGACCCAAGTAACCCCCCGGGGTCTCAATCTTTCCCTTCCTTAAAAATCCTTTTTTTTTTTGGTCTGTTTGCTTTTTTTGTTCGTTTTTGGTGTTTTCCTGCTTTCGTTGACCATTTGATGACCCATTAGACTGAAAGCTAAAAGGCAATTTTGTGCATCGCAAAAAGACTCGTATCCTAGCCCACCGTATTGGTTTTGAAACTACCTTACAAAGACTTTGAAATTCTGAACCAACTAAGGGAATTCTTCGTAGTCAATAGGGATCAAACATAAAACATTTTAACTCGCACTTAGAGTGTACATTATTCAGATTTCCGTCTCCGGTTTTTCAAGGCGAAAATCGTGGATGAACACGGTCGTGTTGTACCCATCAATACTGCCGGGGAGATTTGCTTTCGAGGGTACAACGTCATGCTGGGATACTGGGAAGATAAAGAAAAGACTGACGCTTGCATTGAGCCCAGCGGTTGGTTCCATTCCGGGTAAGTCCGTCGTAAAAAAGTTTGGAGAAAAGACGAAAACGTCCTCGCCTGAAAACCTTTTATATGCATTTGAACGCTGCAACTGGTAGTTATTATGTATTCTGTGTTGTCATTTGAAGGGATATGGCAACAATGGACGAAAACGGATACGTTAAAATTATTGGGAGAATAAAGGTATGTTTTCAATAAATTTCCTCCCTTAGAAATTCCAAGCAACAATCGCTCATGCGTCATACTCTGATGAAAATCTTACGAGGATCTTTGAGGATTTTCATTTGCAGTGAAATCACGTCTCACGACCGTGTCATTAATAATCCTGGTAGTTAATCCATTTCTGCAAACATGAACATACTTTACTTGCAAAAAACTTCGGACGATTTTAATTTCGGACAAAAACAGTGTCCGAAAATTTTTAACGGTCCGAATTTTTTAAGGGTCCGAAATTTTAATTGTCCGAATTTTTCCAGTACAGTACAGTGTAAAACTTTGAAGTAGCTCCAAAGCTCCTAGTTTCCTTTATGCCGGGCTTTATGGAGCGAACTCTAGTTGAAACACTGCTTGACATACGTAACGGCTAGATATAATTTGTGTTATTATATCTCTCAGTTAGTACGCGCGCTGTGATTGGTAAATTTAGCGGGCCGAAATCTACTGTACGGCCCGCTAAAATTTAAAGCTGTTTTTGTTGCCAAAATGTTTCGTGATTTATCGCCAAGTGTTCTTAATATTTTTAGCAGATAAAAGTTTAAAACTTCCTTTTGCTTCTGAAATTGTGTATTAAAACCTACTGACAATTTCAAATTGACTAGTTTAGCTTTCGAGGTGCGTCAGAAATTTGAAGCCGTTCTGTGTGAATAGAAATTGTTCCCGAACCCGTCAGACACGCGGTAGAGATATAATAAATATCTTACTAACCTCGTTTTCTCGGTCCGTACTGTAAGTTACGGATCCTCGTTTTTTTCCCCCTTCGATTTATGGCCCGCGCGCTTCGCGCTTGGGCCATCAGATAAATCGATGGGAAAAAACTCGTTCCGTAACTTTCAGTTCGGCCTCGAACTCGGTTAGTAAGAGGTATTTATTTTCTCGTCGGTGTATTCGTAAAACCGATCCTTGAATGCACGGACATTTCTGAACGAGTTCTGTGAACTCCTTGGTGCTCCTTGGGTAAACAAATTACATTTACATTTACATTACAAACCTTGAGGCTTTACTAAACTATCATTTTCATGGATTTTGTTTTCAGTCTAATTCGCGTTTTGTGGGCGTAAATTTACTTAAAGGAGCTCAGTCACGCTTTGCTCATATTGAAAAGTTTAGCCTCAATTTTTAAAATTCGTCGTGTGTAATCCGTGTCAATCTCCTCCATCCTTAGCCATCCTTGTTCCTTTAAAACTTAAAAGCGGTATTTTTTGGCTAAAGTTTGGTATTCAAAGGGTTAAGGATCCAGTTCCTTATCCGATAATTGAAGATCTTTTAATATCTTTAACGATCTCTAACGATCCTTGAAAGATCTTCAACTTTTTAGATCTTTTACAGGCCTTGATCCTGGAAGATCTTTGAAAATCCTACGTGGTATTTTTAACAGGGAAAGCCGARAAAACAACAGACAAACAATCATTTAAAACGAAATCTTACTTTTCTGTTTTCCTGAAGGACCTGATCATCCGTGGAGGAGAGAACATTTATCCAACAGAAGTGGAACAATTTCTTTACAAACATCCCAAGATACAAGATGTACAGGTACATTTTTAGTTCTAATCGTAAAATTCTCTTACTTATTGTCCAATATTTGTTTCATCAAGGCTCCGTCCAAACAGCGCCGGAGAAATTTGAAAACGCAGCTTCATGTTGGGAATTAGATGTTTGCCTGACTCAACACAACGTTTTCCCGATAAAGTTCGCGCTAAAATCACTCACTCACGATAGACTTTTGAACATATATATTTTGCCTCACACAACGTCCCGAGTTCGATTACAACACACTCTTAGATTCTCTAGAACAAAAGACAAAACAAATCGTACAATGTTTTCTTTGATTGGCTACAGTTACTAACGATGACAGATTCGATGCCTGTCCCTTTCCGGTCAAGTAAACAATCAATTCTAGTCGCGTTAAAAGGGGTTTGATTGTGTAAACACACGATTTGCGACATTCATTTCTACGGTTAGGCCTTTCGTCCACACTAATCCGTCACGAAAACGGAAAACGCTTTTCAAACAGTAGGGATTTGAAAACCCCGGCTTTTCGTTTTCGTGCCGACGGAAAACAATTTGAAAACCTAGCTTTTCGAAAATGATGGCGTCACGATAA